CCGCTTTTATTTGGGAGGTATTCTATTTGTGTGTGTTTGTGTGTGTGATTAACCGCAATATATTCAGTTTTCAATTAAATTCAGTTAAAACGGCCTGTCCCCTAGGGGTAGTGTAATGTAACAGCTGCTCACAAAAGAATCAAAGAGCACAGTGCAATATGCATGGTCCTCAACAGGGATGAATTAACAAGGAACACAAATTAGAACACTAATTAATTGTCAGCTTTTCAGTTGATTGTCTTGAAATTTCTTCCTATTTCGTTGGTGTTGTCATTCTCACCCGCATCTCATCATTAGCAGGCATCTATGTTTGTGTCATACCAGAACTTGATCTACTTCCCCTGGAAATGTAATTCTCCTAGCCTAATGCTGTGGCCAGCTGAGCGTTTCTGGCTGCACGTTTCCAATGTTACATTGTGGGATAATATTGCGGTCTGTGGGACCCAGAGGTGAATATAAAATTAAATTCCTTACAATTTACTGCCACATGCATGTTTGCGTTTTCATTCTCATCCGCATCTAATCGCTAGCAAGCGTCCATGTACTTGTCATATTGGAACTAGAGTTACTTTCAGCCTTCGTGTCTAAGAATCTTGGAAAATAGTGAGTCCATTGACTTTTTTACAGCTTTTCAACTGTCAACCAAGATAGCATTAGCCAAAGTAATAACAACCACCACATTGACGAGTGATGGTCAAACTTTACAATATTTTGCTCATCATGTTCAACCTAGATTTAATTGAATACACTACAAAAACAAGACATTTAATGTTCATAATAGTGGTTCTTAACCTGGTTCGATCGAAGCTAAGGAGTTTGGTGAATCGGTCTCAGGGGTTTAACGGAGCCTCTCCCATGGAGGTTAAGACACCCCCAACTCAACATGTGTACTGTATTAGTTATGACACGCCCGCTTGGCCATCACTGGCTGCAGATAATCACATGACATTGCTTGTCCAATCAGTGCTGTGGGAAATTTTGTTCGCTTAGTAGTCAAGGTGTGACTGTCGTGATAGTACTTCGTACAATGAAATAAAAAAAGTATACTTGTCCCTTGAAATTTTATTTACTTTTTTCTGTTTTTAATTAATGCGGTTTTTTTTTATATCTTGAATTTGTAAAAAAAAAATATATATTTATTTTTCACTCATGAAGGGTTCGCTGAACGTGCATATTAACTGGTTGGGTTCCGTACATCTAAGAAGGTTCAGAACCACTGGTTCAGAATGATAAACGTTGAATTTTATGGCGTCAATGCATTTCAAATTAGCCGGGACAGGTGCCAAATGAGACAAAACAGTTGAGGAATGCTCAACAAACACCTGTTTGAAACAACCCACAGGTGAACAGGCTAACTGGGAACAAGTGATTGCTATGATTTGAAATAATAGGAGCTTTCCTGAATCGCTCAGTCATGCACAAGCAAAGATGGGGCGAGGTTCCCCTTTTTGTGAACAACTAGGTGAGAAAATAGTCAAAACACTTTCAGGACAATGTTTCTCGATGTAAAATTGCAAGGACTTTAGGAATGTCATCTTTCACGGTCCATAATATAATCAAAAGTTTCAGAGGACCCAGAGAAATCACTGCATGGAAGCAGCAAGGCTGAAAACCAACATCGAATGCCTGTGACTTTCGATCCCTCAGGCATTAAAAAAGGACAAATGTGTGAAGGATATCACCACATGGGCTCAGAAACACTTCAGAAAACCAATGTCAGTCAATACAGGTTGGCGCTACATTCGCAAGTGCAACTTGAAACTCTATGCAAAGCAAAATTCATTTATCAAGACCACCCAGAAACGCCGCCGGCTTATCTGGCTCAGAGCTCATCAAAGATGGACTGATGCAACGTGAAAAAATGTCCTGTGGTCTGACGAGTCCACATTTCAAATTGTTTTTTAGAATTGCGGACATCGTGTCCTCCGCGCCAAAGAGCCAAAGAACCATCCGGAGTGTAATGGATGCAAAGTTTAAAAGCCAGCACCTATGATAGTGTGGAGCTCTGTGAGTGCCCATGGCATGAGTAACTTACACATCTCTAAAGGCACCATTGATGCTTGGTTTTGAAGAAAAATATGCTGCCGTGTAAGCAACGACGTTTTCATGGATGCACCTGGTTATTTCTGCAAGACAATGCCAAAAAAACATTCTGCACATGTGACAACAGTGTGGCTTTGTAGTAAAAGAGTGCAGGTACTAGACTGGTCTGCCTGCAGTCCAGACCTGTCTCCCTTTGAAAATGTGTGGTGTGTTATGAAGCTTAAAATACGACAACGGAGACCCAGGATTGTTGAACAGCTGAAGCTGGACATCAAACAAGAATGGGAAAGAATTCCACCTACAAAGCTTCAACAATTCAAGTTCTCAGTGCCCAAATGTTTTTTGAATGTTGTTAAAAGAAAAGGTGACGTATCACATGGTAAACATGACCTTGTCTCAGCTTTTTTGGAATGCGCTACAGCTATAAAATTCAAAGTTAGTGATTATTTGCAAAAACAATCAAGTTTCTCGGTTTGAACATCAAAGGTCTTGTTTTTAGTATTTAAATAAATGTAGGTTGAACATGATTTGCAAATCATTGTATTGTTTTTTTTTTTGTTTTTTTTTTTATGTTTAACACAACGTCCCCCACAACTTCATGGGGTATGAAAATGTTTTAGAATAGACCCGTTCATCGATATTACGACTAACAATACAATGCATGGTCAGTACTATATGGTAGGTCTCATTGACATGATCAAATATGTTGTGGGTGGGTTTGTCAGTATTTAAGTTTGGCATAGCGCTTCACCTCCATCTGCTAGAAGGACTAGAGACAGAAGGCTCGCGTGTGTGTGGGGGTCTTTGGTCTTTGAAGTGGGGCAGATTGCTTTAACCTCTCCACTAAAAGGAGCAGCTGGAATAGAGAGCTCCTTTAAACAGCCGCTTCCTCCTGCGACAGTCATGAGATTATCCTCCATTGATGCATAAAGCCAGCGCCTTTCTCTGCGACCTCCCATCCCAGCCCCCAGCTTCTGGCCCTCTACAAACACTCATTGTTGACCTGTGACACATAATGCAGCAATGTAATGCCAAGTCACTTTGCAGGATCTGATAAAATGCCCAAATGAGTCAAGATATCCTCCCTTCCTTTGGTAATATCACTTCTGGCGATCAATGAAAGTGTCTCTACATCGCATGTGCTTTTGAATTCCAATGATGAGTTTAAAAATATGGCCAGTCCGTCGTAATGGGGGGATTCACTGCACTGATACGGCATTAAATAACAGAGCAAGTTCCTTGTTTTGGTCTATGGTGAGCCAGACCCTGTGAACGGGAGCACTAGGGTAAGTTAGAAGTGAGTCTTTGTGAGGAGGGGGAGCTGTGACAGGAACGTCCCTATTTACTGCCACAATCATGCAATTATCATCTGCAGAAAAACCTGCAATGCATTACTTTTTCATCAAGATTTATCAAATTTGATTAACATTTATATTAGATTTTTTTGTGTACTTTAACAATCAACAAACTGAATTATCAAAATAAAAGTCTCATGCCTGTGTTTCAAGTCTTAATTTTTTTTTTTTTAACTAATTATACACACCCACTGTAGCCCTTTTAAAAACCGTTTCGTCCAAATGGACGCACACATCTTAGTGTTAGGCTTCGCAATGAATAAATTATACAGGTCAAGTTTACAATTTATTTTTTTTATATAAATAGAGATGCAAGTAAACTTTTCTCTGAGAATTTCTTGGGCTGATTCCAAATATGCCCTCATTTTTTTCTCTAGCACATCAGGTTTTCATCATCATGACGAGGATGATGATTATAAAGTAATATTAGTAATATTTATGAATTAAAGGTTAGGTTCAGCAACATGTGACATTTATATCCGAAATAGCTATGAATTGCAACACATGAAAAAATTCAAACTTCGCAAGTTTTGAAAGGTGAGAAAAATGTAAATATCTCAAAAACCTAATATGTGAGGAAAAAAACAAAAAGAAATCGGTGTAAAAAATATGCTGTGGGACACACGAAGCCAATAAGGACACTCACAGTTATTATATTTATTTAAATAGTTGATGTAATCAATAAATGAATGTTGTGATTGATAAATAGAAATTAATGATTCTTTTTTTTTTAATTTTCATAAATTCAAACTGAGTGAATGCAATTTTAATTCCTAGTGTTGATTGTTAAATGAATTTTAAAGCATGACTATTAATGTAAGAATAAAAAAAAAATGCTTACCAAAAGTCGGGGAAAAAAAAGATTTTCCGTGCTTGTTGGAACAATGACTTGTGTTGACAGGGAATGTATCTCTTGCCCCTCTCACTTGTGCCTTCTTTGCCCTATTCATTGCACAAATCTGCTTAAGCGCACTTAAGCACATTAGCATTTGGCTGCCAGGTGACCATATTGACCCTCAATTTGAATTGCCTAAATGAGTGAAGGATGGAGCGACTTGTTCAAGATTTAGAAATGCCCACTTGTGGTTTGACGGAGCCAGACATGGCAAAATGGAGGCGATGTAGTGGGCAAGTCGGTTTTTGGTCGAGCCTCGTGTGCCAGTCAGGACATTTCTTCATGGCCAAAGCTGGACTGATTTGGGACATTTGAGTTCAAAGGGCCTTTTCTCTTCGCTCTATTGGCTTGACCCGATTATCTAATCTGTGCTTTGAATTTCAATCAGCTCATCCAATCTCTGCTGTTTGGTGTGGGAACCACTGGCTCAGGGATTACTTCATTCAACTGTCTTCAAACACAGATGGTCCAATGTTTAACTAATTGTTAAAAGAGTCCACAAAGGGGAATTTTAACGTATACACAGTCCATAGGGTCAGTGTGTGCGTGCGTGCGTGCGTGCGTGCGTGCGTGCGTGCGTGCGTGCGTGCGTGCGTGCGTGCGTGCGTGCGGTTTAGTCGGTACAACAGTTACGGTGTTTTATCTTATCTAATATGATTAAGTTTAACGCGTTAACGTGGTATTATCTCTTCCTTTTTCACCTTCAGACTCTCTGTTCCACCGCCACCATGCAGACAGTAAGAACCACGGACACCAATGAAGTCGACAAGTTAATATTTAGAGAAAGTGACAATGACAGAAAGGTAAGCCAAATGCTATATTTGCCAGAATGTGGACCTTCCCTTTTTTATTCATAAGATCGACATTGATTTTAGATTGAATTAAAATAACTTTAAGATTTTACTTCTGTAAGATCATTGAGTCGTTTGTCACACCAGAAAATTGCATCAGAAAATACTCTCTGTCCACTTGTAGAACATGTTTTAGCTCACCAGCCATTGGCATCGAAAGGACTGGAGAGGAGTAGCGTTTCTTATTTGGCATGCTTAAATAAAATGAAACTATTATATTCATGTCATTCACTGACCATAAAAATATGATTCAAATAAATATTCTACGCGGGGTGGCCCGGTAGTCCAGTGGTTAGCACGGAGACTTCACAGTGCAGAGGTACCGGGTTCAATTCCAGCTCCGGCCTCCCTGTCCGGAGTTTGCATGTTCTCCCCGGGCCTGCGTGGGTTTTCTCCGGGTACTCCGGTTTCCTCCCACATTCCAAAAACATGCATGGCAGGCTGATTGAACGCTCCAAATTGTCCCTAGGTGTGAGTGTGGGCGTGGATGGTTGTTCGTCTCTGTGTGCCCTGTGGTTGGCTGGCGACCAATTCAGGGTGTCCCCCGCCTACTGCCCGAAGACAGCTGGGATAGGCTCCAGCACCCCCCGCGACCTAGTGAGGATGAAGCGGTTCGGAAAATGAATGAATGAACATATATTCTACGCATCGGCTTTCCACTCACTGGTCAATATTGGGGAATTTAATGATTGAGATTCAACAGAAATTTCCACATTTGCAAATCCAAACGTGGTGAAAATAAATTCTATTTCATCAAACTTGATCAGTAATACAAGTATTCCCCCCTCCCCCCTTGTAATTGGCAGGTTGTTAAATGGCCTTCATTATTACGGGTATCATACATGCGTGTAGAATGAACTGCTTAACACTGCAGCACGGCGCTGTTCATTAGTGCTCTAATTACAAAGTGCTCTTCCCATTAGTAATGGTATTAATCAGAGGTCCATCTCTCTCTCGCCACCGATTCAGGTCGTCCTTCAGCTTGAAAAGAAGCTTTTTAGTTATGTCAACCAAGACGTTTTCCGTGAAAACAATGGGACCTCGGTAAGTCACTGAAATGCCTTTTGTATGTTCATTCACTCTCCATCATTCCAAGTCATTTATTACAGGTTAAGTTTCTTTGATTGACCATATAGACTTTCTTTCCCCCAACGTATAATGGTGGCCGTTGTCCCGCACTTCACATTGATTTTCAGTACATTCTAATAGCATCGGTGTTTATTGTATTGTATGGCTTTCAAATGAGGATTTATTTTGTTTGTTTTGATTTAAGGTGTTGTGTTTTTTTATATTCACACAATGTTCTAATAAGTGTAAAATCATGCAAAAAACCCCAACACTTAAGTGTGACATTTTGTCACAATATATTGTTGGGATTGATAATTTGGG